TAAAATGATGTATTTTATTATACAGTAGAACATCTATATATTACTATTCAATAAATTAATAATCTCTATAAATTAATAAATTTCGTCGGTCCCAACTTGGACCGTTTCAAAATTTGACACAAATCACTATAATAAAATAATTTTTTTTTAGAAAAATCTATGTAAATATATGATCTCATTATAATTATAAATTAATAATTTATATATATATATATATATACATATTTTACATAAGTAAGAACCTATAATTATATTATTTTTTATATTTACAATTTAATTATCTTTATATTTTCTTAACACTTAATATATTTTTTATGAGATTTAGTAATATTATAGCTAAAGTATATTTAAGTTATATGAACTATATATTATATACACCAAATAATATAATAAAATTAGTATAAATTTCTAATTTCAAAAAATAATAATTAATGTTTATACATTAAAATTAAATATTTTCTTATCTTAGAAAATAGAATATCTTAAAATAATAAATCTAAATAAAGAAACTTTTATAAATTAATATTTCTATAAATTAATAAAATTTCAAAATTCCAACATTATTAATTTATAGAGGTTCTACTTTATTAGTAAATTGAACAACTAAAGAGGGCAAACAAATTTACTTGTGGTGGTTGGGGTAAGTAGAGGTGAACACATATCGAATATTCAGATTTTTTAAGGTAATTGTGATTTGTTTCATATTTTATGGTATCTAATTTTTCGATTGATTTACTTTGAAAAATAATTATATCCAGAAAAGTGGATATATAGAAAATAAATAGATATTTGCAGATATATAGATTATGCAACAGTTTTTGGTCTAATTTAATTTTGTTATTTTATTTATTTTTGCAACAGTTTTTGTGTGGACAACAAACAACAGATAGACTTGTCATATGACGCATAGTATAAAACCTCATAAGACGACAACATATTAAACGAAGAAAACAACTTTATATACAGATTATGAGGATTAAGTGGTATCATATGCTGAATAAGAACCAATGAAAAATATTTACAAAAACATCATTACGTAAGTTACGTTCATATAATTATAGTTGGACAAATCGTTTTTAATGCTAGAAAGTATGAAAATTTCCAACTTTCCTATTGTTTTACTTGTATATGTATGTTTAAACATTTAATAGTTTCATAAATTTCTGAAGTCAATTCCATTAACATTTGATTCTCATAAGATAAGTTAGCACATAGAGTACCTTTTATATTTTAGATACATCTTCAATTTAACCACTATTTATTTGATTATATTATTTTTTGGTATAATCAGTCTTATTATGCGTTCTGGCAATTGTGTGTTTATCTTTTAGAAAATGCCCATACGATCTCATCAGTTAATCTCCAATAGGATAATATAATAATACGCACACAATCTCCAATACGAATATATTAGTGTGTAAAGTAAAATATAATATAGTATATTATTTTGTTGTGTTTGATATAAATATACAAATCGTATATATATATATATATAGCAAATTTCATTAACATAATATTAAACACAAATAATACTAACTTTCTTAAATACTTAAAGTAAATATATTAAAAATATCTTGAGAGCAGTTTGGTATTCAATTTTTTCTTTTTAGTTTTCAGAGTTTTAATGAAGTTTTTACGGATTTCATAATTTTGATCTGAAAAATACATATCTTATGGTTTAATATATCTCTAATATATTAAAAATATTTGAAAACTTAATCTTCAAATCTTTTCATTTTAGTTTTCAGTCTTCACTAGAGTTTCTTGAGCTTTATAATTTTGGTACATAAAATACATAGTTTTTAAGGTTCAATTTATCTACGATATAATCTTTTAAAGATAGCTTTATGAAGTGTAGATATAAATCAATTTAGCGACAGTAAACACAAGTTTCAGGCAACGTTAATTATGCAGATAAGTTCTTCTAGCATCTTAACAAAGTTTGTTTTCTATTAAAATGGACGTCTCGGGGAAACCTCATCAATTCAGTCCTCGGTCTCTTAAGAACCATAAAGAAAGTCAATTTCGTTAAGCTGTGACATTGCAATCGATCTTTATTACAAACCCTATTCTCCAACTATAAATGGATCAATAAATTGTTTTCTTTTGACCAATGATTTTCGTTTACTTGTTTAGGGTTGTTCTAAAAAATATCTATTATGTTCTTGTGCCAATTTAAATATATAATTATATAGATAGAGTATGGCTGTCGGCACACAAGTAGAGACCACTCAGAATTCTCAAGGGCCAGATTTCGATATATATTTTCTCTTTTAAATTATTTATTAAAATAAAAGGTTTCAATAATCTTACATTTATAAATTTGTGTTATAAATATACCATCACTAGTTTTTCAGTAATACCAAAAAATTCAATAAAATGACTTAAAATCTCTATTTAAGAGAAAAATCTAATACCCTAATCAATTTCGAAAAATAGTCAACTACAACATGATTTTAATTAAGATTGGATACACAATAATTTTTGATATATTTGAACTTAAAATGTGAATTTAAGAATATTTATTTCTTCTGTTTCTTATTGATTATACAACTTTTAAATAAAAATAATTTAACTAAATATTTATTGATTATTTAAAAAGGTAAAAAAGAAATGTATTGTAAAAATATGTATTAAAAAGGAAAAGTGATATTTATTTTGAAACAACATAAGAAAAATTAAAATAACATTCTTTATAAAACAGAGAAGTATAGAAAACGGTTATTAAATAGATTCTCATATAAAGATACATATATATAACTCTAAAACAAATATTAAAATATGCATACCGTAACATTTTATGTATATTAGGGACAAAGGCTTTTCTTTTGGTCAACACATCAGAGACAAGCTAATAACTCATAAATTGTTGTTGCAGTTGTATATACCTAATAATATTGTTAAGTTGGTTGTATACCTCAGCTCAGACTTTTCACTCTCGCAGTACTATATCCTCGAAGAACAAGAATCGAGTCTATCGAAGCATATTGCCTGCCACCGCACAACATGCTGATTTCATCAAATTTGTCGTTTTCTCGCCGCCTAACGTCACTCCCGAATATAACTGTTGCGACGTGGAAATAAAAATCATCCTTTTTTTTTTGGTATAGCGATAAGTTATTTTGTTAAAATGCGAATTTATTTCAGGAAATTAGGGTCAAGTATACACAAAAAAAAATATAATTCATTAACTAACCTAAAATTTTCATTCTCTCCTATTTTTCTTCATATCTCTCTACTCCTTTTCCAAAAATCTAAAATCTTTTTTTTTTTGTTTTCTTGGTTATTTGACAAATAACCCCTTTCATTAAATTTGTCGAAACTTGTTTTAAAATAAAATATTAGTAATTTTATATTTTATTATTAGCTTACAATAGTTAATTTTAATTTTTAATATTAGTGAACTTCGACGGAAATCCAAAGCCAATAGTACATCAAAATGAAAAAGAGAGAAGTAAAGGGGAAAAGCAAACTAACAAGAAAAAGGGGACGGTGGTGACCGGCACAGAAGCCACTGACCACCAAAAGAAATTGGATTTGAGTTATGTTTAGGAGGTTTTTTAGAGAGAAGGTCTTAGAAAGATGATTGCATAGTGATATCTTGTTTTTGTCAATGAAATTTTGATTAAAACTAAAAAATAAAATTGAACCCAAAGATGGTAATTCATGAAGTTCGCTACAAAAGGAGATGGGCTTGAAGAGTCTTTTTAGCTAAGCTATCGACAATTGAGTTGTTTGATCTCAAAACATGAAAATAAAAATTTCTGCAAAACCAGAGGAGATTGATCGGATTCTTTTACAGTTCGTATTATTTCTTTTGACTGGTGCTTGTCGGAGATAACTTTGATGAGCGTTAAACTGTTGGAAAAAATTTAAGTTTGGGAAACTCCAAAGTTAGCGCCATGCAAAGGACCGATCACAACGTGATAGCATCTACAATAAGGGGTGAGTTGATGAACATTTCGACCAGAGATTCATGGATTGGTGTCTCCAGAGGTGGACCCGAGAAAACCCATCCCAAACCTGTTGTATTTTTCTCTTTATTCCAAGCCGCATCGGTCATGCATGATAAGAAACTGTTGTCGAAAGGACTCCTTGGTGCTTGTCTGATCTGATCATTGTGTTGCTTGCTTCCTTGACTTTTCCTTGCGATTGAGTCCATTCCTTTGCTAGTTTCATTCCTTTAAGGGATACTTCTTCAGGTTATTGATACTGATCTTCGAATAATAGGGTGTTTCGTGCAGTCCAAATAACCCAAAAACATCCATGGTAGAATGTTGAGGGAGATCCCTGATGTAAGTAGGCAAAGCCGGTCCTAGACACTGCCTTATGAAACATTTGTAACAGGCCCCCAATTTTATAGGTCCCCAAAAATAAAAATCCAATTGTATTATATACATAAAATTTTGAATAGTTGCCAAAAAAAAAATTAATAATCATATACAGCCCACTTTAAATTTGTTTCAAAAGATGTAGACAATTGTGATTTTTATGTGAGTAAACTTGTGTCTTATTAGTATTTGTATTTGAAAGTATTTTTACAAGTTTGTTTCTGTTATTTTTTATGATATTGTATACTGCCCCCGTTTTCTATTTTGTTTCAGGCCCCCGAAATTTCAGGACCTGTAAGTAGGCAGATTACTGTTCTGATGACAGTTAAATTCCATGGTGATATCTTGTTTATTTCCTTAAATACATTGTAAAAAAACTTACCAGTTTTGTGGTTGGTCCGGACCATTCGGTTTGTATAAAATAAATCTATTAGTTTTTTAAGGTAGCCATATTTGTCTTGGCCTATGAAAACAAGAACCTATTGAAACGTTACAACGATAAAATACATCCCACTTTCAAATATATAATAGGAAGTCCATGCCCCTATATAGGATTAGGTTTTGAAGTAAGTTATTGCCACAACAAAAGTAGATAACGAAATACAAAAAGAGAGAATTTTTTTTTGACAAAAAAAAGAGAGAAAACTTTAAAAAGGAAAAACAAAATACATGGAATATTCTCAATCTACCATGTATTCTTCTCCTAGTTCTTGGAGCTCATCACAAGAATCATTCTTATGGAACGAGAGTTTTTTCTTAGATCAATCATTCACTCACCAATCTTTATTTTGCGCTGATTATAATTACTCCAGCGACTTATTCTCATTTGAGTCACCGGAGATGATTAAAGAAGAAGCCCAAAACGCCGACGTTTCTAACTCCGAGGAGGAAGAAAAGATTGGTAATGCTATTGATGAAGAGAAGGCGTACAGAGGAGTGAGGAAAAGGCCATGGGGAAAATTTGCTGCGGAGATAAGAGATTCAACTAGAAATGGAATTAGGGTTTGGCTCGGGACGTTTGACAAAGCCGAGGAAGCAGCTCTTGCTTATGACCAAGCGGCCTTTGCAACAAAAGGGTCTCTCGCGGTTCTTAACTTCCCCGTGGAAGTGGTCAGAGAGTCGCTCAAGAACATGGAGAATGTGAATCTTGATGATGGTGGATCTCCAATTATGGCCTTGAAGAGAAAACATTCACTTAGAAACATTCCTAGAGGGAAGAAGAGATCTTCTAACTCTTCTACTTGTTCTTCAAATTCTTCTTCTAATTCATCTTTGTCCATATCTTCTTCCGCCTCATCTTCAACATCAAGAAGTAATAAGCAGAGTGTTGGGAAGCAAGAAAGTGGTACACTTGTGGTTTTTGAAGATTTAGGTGCTGAATATTTAGAGCAACTTCTTATGAGCTCATGCTGATCTGGTAACTGATTCCGGCTATAGCTATCATTAAACTTTAATTTGTGGTTGTTTTGAAATTTGTTTGTTCATTGTGAAATTTCTTTGTTCATAGTGAAATTATTGGAAGAGTTGTGATGTTGATGTTGAACTGTATAAAACGCTATTATTGTGTTATGTCGCTGGAAAGTGTGTGTGTCCACCTTAATTGCTTTACTATTTGTTTGTACTTTAATTACATGGGTGAAGATATTAGAGAGTAAATGTGTATATATACCTTAAATTGATCATTCTAATTACTCTAAGACTGTGAACTTCATATCTATCAAGTCGATCCAAGCTATATAAAGGTACTCTTAATTGGAATAGCAAAATCCAATCCAAAAGAAGTTGATAAGATAACTATAAAATTAAAAAAAAAAAAAAATAGGGTAGTTCGATTAGATCTATAAAGGTATGATCCTATTAAGTGTAGATCCTATATCGTGACATATGCTTAAACTACATTATGATTCATATTATTGTCGTAAACGTCGTTGATGATGCTTTCGTTATCATTATTCTTAATTTCATTGTTTATTGGTTGTTTGACTTTCTTTGTCAACTTTTTTTCTTGCTGAAACATTTTGAATACAATGAAGATAAAGATTCACAAGGGACGTTAAAATAAGATTGAGACTCTTTTGGATGACATTTCCAAAAGATATGCATCAGATGAAAACGAGTTTGGTTTGTAATCTAATGTCAATGACTTGGACGTAACACTGTCGTCGCGACGTTATAACTTTTATTAATGTGTGGTCTGAGTGTGCAAAGAAAACGAACTTCTTAGTCAAACTTCATGTGAATAATAAGTAATTAAGTATAGATCCTGCAATGTTCTTCGTAAATGGATGCGAAACTCGTTTAAGCAAAACTGAATCAACAAAAAAAATAATCAGTTTTTATATCTTTTATTTTGTTAAAAGAAGAAAACTAGTAAAGGAAGTTACAAGATGAAAACTAGCTTCTTTTTTTTGGTCAAATACGAAAACTAGATTAATTTTGATAAACAAAGACTAAATTAAACAAAAACTGTAACGATATTAAACTGAACCAAAGTAAACTAAATAAACTCTTTTACAAGACTTCTTTTTGGTCAACAGAAATTTCATGAACTTAAAAATCTCGCAAAAGAAGCTAGACTGTGGAGTCAAAGTTAAAAAAAAAAACAAAATAAAAATGTATCTAAGAACTTAGTAGAACGGAATAATTAACAATCCACCTTCGCATTCAATAATCATGAAATGAGAAACTTCTAAAACTAAGGGTCAAAGATATAGTTTATATAATTGGATATCTCATATTTTAAGTTACGTTAATTTAGGAGATACAAATGTATTTTCTTTCTGGTTGTAATCTTTCTTTTGTAGAGAGATTAGGTTACAACTCGTGTAAGTACACTAGGTTACAAATTATGTAAGTGTATATATATAGACAGATCTTGTAAAAAGTTTTCTTATTTTATTCTTGGGTCAATGACTAATATATATACTTACAAAAAGTTAATCTATTTTCAAAAGAGAAAGATTACAACTAGGAGAAATTAAAACACTTATATATTTAACATAATAGAAACTATATCATATATCCAGATATGTATATTATGTTTAACAATACTCTATGAATCATAACTCGTTTAGAAGAACAAAAAGGCAGCTAGTTTTCAATCTGATTTTTCATGGCGATCAACTCCACAAAATCCAGTTGAAATACATGACAACCCACATTATGATATTGGATGGAAGACAAGACTTAAAGGCTTCACGCATATTGATACTGCAATGTGAGTTCCAAAATGAGTGTCACCATCATTGTAAGCAAATGGTATCAGTAGACAAATTTGGTTTATTCAATTTTATTTTTGTTTTCCAATCAACCAGATCTGAACTAAAAATAAAATGAAATGCCTGGATCGCAAAGAAGAAAAAAATTCCTTGAAAATGGTTTAAAGTTTTCAAATATCCCGTCAAAGACGAAAACAAAACTAAAGAAGTTAACCAAAAGAAATTAATCTAAAATAAGCTAACTTTTGAGGCGATACTATATATGTGTGTGTGTATTTCCTTGTTTATAAAATATAAAACATGTTCGACATTTTTGTAACACTTATTGGTTTGAGTTATATTAAGAATAAAACAACTAGTAGGGCACAAAAAGAAATGATAAATATGTATAAGAATTTTATACATTTTTTCCTGAGAATATTTTTTTCCTGAATTCAAGATTAAGAGATGATAGAAACACAAACTAGTGGGATATTAAATCATTTAAAAAATTTAACACATCGAACATTAAATGGGTATGAATATAAACGAAAATTTGAATCTATATTATGTTTTTTTTTTATAAAAGGCATTCATATATCACAGTAAGACAACATCAAATTTTCGTAATCACTAGGAAAGTTGCACATCTATACTATGGTTGTATTAAAATATTTGATAGTTATGATTTTTTTGTTTAACTATTTAACCAAATGAGAGTTTTCTACTAAAATCATTTATTTCAGGTGGTATGTTTATCACCAACTAATTTTTAGATTATTTGTATTAGAAATATATATATATAATTTAATTATACAAATTATATATATATATATGTATATATTTTATGTGAGCCTGTTCGAAATAGAGAATAGTCCATAGGAGTAAATAGACAACAAGAAAATGACAAGAGAGCTTAGGAACAAAAGCATATCCAAAAATATTAAAGAAAGACCAACTGATGGTAGTTATATATTATACATCAAAAATTAGAACAAAATTAAATTAGTGAATCCGGTTTGACCCAAGTTGAACCGCATCCAAATATCTTTGTTCACACGATCCAGTACTTTAGGAGTTGCAACTTCCAAGATACAAAAGCCCAATACACAACTTTACTAAGAAAACCTCTTCAACCTTTTCTTCTCCAAGTTTTGAACATAATCAGTTTCATTTTTTAATTTTGCACTTTTCACGATTGAGAGTTTTAATATTTTACCAAAAAGCCTCAGACAGACTAAATGGTGCCCAAAAAAAAAGAAACGAAATCCATTAAAGCTATAAAAGATAATAGAGTTAGACAAAATCCAGAAGAAAAGCTCTAACTCTAGCTAATATAACTTGAAAAATAACCAAAGGGACTAATAACTAACCAGTCATTAGGGAGCAAGTAAACACAAAGTTATTAAAAAGTAATTAGACACCACTGTTTGTCCCTCTCAGTAGCCGTTGGTAGGAACCGCTTCCATGTACTGTTTCTCCACAACCTCCATCACTGTGTCTGCAATTCCACTTGCATACACACAAGATCCTTCACAAATCTTCCCCCAAATCAAAAATATTAGTTTTTAATCTGTTTTTGGTATTTACAACAGGATCAAAGCACTGAGATATAGATATTCATTACCTTAGTGTTGAACAAGAAGCTGTAATGCTCACCAATCTGTCCTCCTGCAACATGGTGGAGATCAAGCTTAAGCTGATCAAGAACTTTAGTTGTGAACAACAAACAGTTAATCTTCTTCTTCTGAACAACCTTGATGGTCACTTCATCATCTATTATGCGTACATCCACCTCAGTGACTTTAGATTTCCTCTTCAGCCAAGAACATCTCAGTGATTTGTTCTTGTTGAAACAAGACTGGTCTACTTCGCTCTGTGGTCTGTGACTCACAGTGTCTTGTTCTCCACTAGTTTTAGCTCTCTTCTTGGTCCTGAATTTCCCAAACTTTTTCTTCTCCACAAGCATCTTAAACTCCTCTATTGTCCTTAACAGCTCCTTGATGTAATCTATTGCCTCTCCAACGATGGAAGCTCTATCACTCTGTTTAAACCAAGACATAAACAAAAAAAATGTCATACACATGAATAGTAAAGTACATTAAGCAAAGCTAAAACCTTAGTGGGATTTGGAATGAGGTTCTTGAGGTCGGAGAAGCGATCACTGAAGTGAACTCTTCTCTCACGTTCTGTAGGGAGAGTTCTTGACTTTCTTGAACCTCTTCCTCTACGGTTATTACCAAACTCGAAAGCTCCACTCTCAAACCCACCACCGTTGTTGTTGTTGTGTCCTGGTTCGTAATACATCTGAATCTGTTCTTCAACTCCTAGTAAACAAGGACTGTCTCTTTGCTGGTTATGGTCTAGTGGCTGCAAAGGGAAGTTCAGATGGAAGAGTGGGTCGTACATGACAGCAGAGGAATCTGAGAAGGAGATTGATGAGTTGGGAAGAGGCAAGTGTAGGAGACTAAGCAAGTCTGGAGTTGGTGAAGAGTTAGGACATGAGTTGATGAGATGTTGATAGCCATTCTCCCAGTTAGAGTGTTGTTGTTGGTTATGAGACATCTGATGAATCAGATTGATGTTGTTGCTTTGGAACTGATTGTCACAAGGAGGAGGGTTGATGTGAAATTGAAGTGGTGTTGAAGAGGTTTGAGGATAGTCTTGTGGGCTGAGATGGAACTCTTCCACATCAAGGCTGCAGTTGCTGTTGCTTGTGCTTCCGGCGACCAGAATTTGCGGTGGTTGTGGTGGTGGTTGGAGTTGAGAGAAGTTTCTCTCCGCCGGATCGAAACAAGGCATCTCCTCGTACATGCTTACTCTTTCTTCTGCTTTTGTAAGAAAAAAAAACACTATTTAGACTTTCCAAGAACACAAAATAAATAAAGAGAGAAAGTTGAAAAAAAAAACTGTGACCTTCCATGAAGATGGTTCAAGGAGTCGAAGTTTCGAACCTGGCAAGGATTAGTTCTTCTGGATATCTTTGGCAATTTTCAAGAGAAGAAGGAAGTTTTGTAAACAAGTTTCATTTTGTGTTTCAAATATACGGACATTTGTAGACTGCGACAAACAATAATGACAAGGGTGTACCAAATAAAAATGGAAATTTTTATTTGTTGGGATTGAAAAAGAGAAATAAGCTTTGTTTTTATTTTCAGTCTGGGACAGTTTTTTATGTTTAACACTTCAGGCTTCAGTAGTTGTAACAAGTTTGAATTTATTTTTATTTTAACGCTAATAAACGTTGGTATTTAAAAAATAAACAAATATGTGAAAATTATTGTTTTTGGAGTTGTGTTTGGTTGGACCATGTGATTTCTCTTTCTCATTGTGGCCAAACATGAAGGTTGTTACAGAAAAGTAGACCAGACGATACGTCTCTCTGGTCTATGCAAATATGCAATGACTTAAGGGCATTTCCGTCATTAAGATAGGCTCCTCATTGAGAAATGTGGGGTCCATGTGTTACTACCCCTACGGGCTACGGCAGAAGAAGACTAGTCACACCAACTAACAGCTTATTTCATCATCAATAATCAAAATACTGAAACCTAGGGCTGGCATTTTATTCGTTATATTTGATTCGATTCGTTATTCGTTTCGATTCGATCCAAAAATTCCGGATATCCGTAAACTTTCGAAGCAAAGCAAATACTAAAATTCAATATCCGTTAAAATCGAAGCAAATCACAAATATTCAAATTTTGGGAAGCTGATATCCGATCCGATCCGGAAATATATAAATATATGTATATCTTGATTATATTTAAAATTTTAAATGTATAAAATTATACAATTATTATTCTAACACATGATTTTGAACAATTCTATTCACATTATTACTTATATAAAAGTATTACATACAAGAGAGAAATTTTTTATGAAAATAGTATTTTTTTCTTAAATTTTGTGTTATTATAATTGTAACTTAAACTTAAAAAAATTACAAAATATGTAAATTCACTAGTTCTTTTAATTTTTATTTTATATATCATGCAAAAAAATATTTTTGAAAAGCAAATTTGTATCAAAATCTTAAGATTATTTGTATTAATCGAAACTAATGAGATATCCGTAAATATTCGTAAATATCCGCAAATATCTATTTATTTCCCGGATATCCGTTTTTCCGGATATCCGTATTTTTTCGAAGCAAAGCAAATACCAAAATTAGATATTCGTAACATTCGAAGCAAATCACAAATACCTTAAAAAAACCTGGATATCCGATCCGTGCCCACCCCTACTGAAACCTATGGAATCTATTTTTGTAGTGAAATCAGTAGCGTAAAATTCCAACACGAAATACTTAGCATTTTCGTTAAAGAAAAGATAAAGAAACAAAGTTAAACTATCCTTAACGTGATCTTGCTGTGATTTTGATGCTCATTCAGAAAAGAAAATGTTAAAATATCCATCATATGATAATAAACATACGCTTTGAATATCTCCGTAACAAAAACGGTAGTCTACGGTTGTTAACTATTTGGAAGAACATCAACTTTACTGAGTAAACATTAATCCTACAAAGCTAGTTTTAGATCAGTAAAAGTAGAATAAGTTTTTTCTTGCGGTTAGGTCATGCGATATATGTTTTAATAGCAAAGAAAGTGAGGTTGTTTGAAGAGAAGTCGATGTAGGTCCACACTGAGATAATAATAATATACTTCTATTTAGGATATTCTCGTATATATTAAAGTTGGACTTTTTTTTTTGTAACTGATTAAAAGTTGGACTTGCATAAGCTTATAAAACCTATGAACCGAGCTAGGTGCTATTACATTTACATAAACTGGTGATCCTTCATATTTGCATTTTTTTCAATCATTATAACCCAATTTATATTATCTAAATCCATAACTAAGATTGGAATATAAACATGTACTGATTGATCACTGACCTTGGTTTTAAGAAAAAAACGTAATGGTCACCAATTTGTCCTCCACCAACATAACTTCTGCCAAAACCTGATCACACTGTACAATATCATGGTTTAATTTGATTACCTATATACTATGAAGAATGTGTGATTATATATGTTCCACTATTAATATTCTTTTCGAGATAATTCCTTCTTTTTATTGTTTAAATAGTCATTTTTCATTAATAAGATCATGGCTTAGGACAATATGGCATTTGCATGTGTGTTTTTTTTTTTCATTTGCATGTATTTATTGTGCTAACATAAAATAGAAATAATCTAAATCTGGCTTCAAAAAATATTTTATTTAGTCTTGCAACTGAGTTAACATAGAATACAAAAGCTAGAAATATATAAAATTAGCCTAATAATTAGTAATTATTGATGGGAAGAGCAGCCATGTAGTGCTGATCCACAACTTCAATAACTCTGTTTGCTATTGCGCTTGCATATATTGTTGATCCTTCATTTATCTGCATTTATTCAATTATATATTAATGTTAACAAAAACTCATAGCCAACTTATTATATATTCAATCAAGATCTGTATTAGATCCACTGATCACTTACCTTAGTGTTAAGCAAGAAACTGTAATGCTCACCAATCTGCCCTCCAGAGACATGGTGAAGACCAAGATGTAGCTGATCAAGCACTTTGGTGACAACCAACAAACAATTAATCTTCTTTTTCTGAACAACTTTGATTGTTACTTCGTCATCAACGATCCTAACATCAACTTCTGTTACTTTTGATTTCCTTTTCAGCCATGAACATCTCAACGAGTTGTTGCTTGAACACTGGTCTATTACATCAGTCTCTTTCTTCTTTTCCATGTTTTCATCATCATGATCATCATTGTCAATATTAATAGCGTCTAAATTGTTATTGTTGTCTACTTCATGATTATTGTTCTTGTTTCTCCCACCACATCTTTTCCTCTCAACTAAATACTTAAGCTCACTTACTCTTCTGCGCAACTCGTTAATATAATCGATTCCATCTTGAAGAATGGATGCTCTATCTCCCTAAATAACACGTACATATTATATGAATTAAGCAAATATGCATGCATTGAAGTGACTAAAGAAAAAAAAAATATATAACCAACCTTGCTAGGGCTAGGAATGAGAAGTTTCAAGGCCTCGTACCGCTCATTCAAGTGACATCTTCTCTCGCGCTCAGTCGTGAACGGCTTGTTCTTTTGCTTTCCTCTTCTTTTACGCCTAATGTTTTTGCTAAACTCGACGAAACTGGTATCGAACTGATCAATGTTGTTCTCATCATCACCAACATTTTGCTGATCTCTTTGAGTAGTAGTAGTAGTATTGGTATCTATTCCAAGAAAGAATCCTGAGTAGTCATTGGCAGTAAGGATCACTGGAGGCTGTGGAGGAAGGTTTAGATGGAAGAGTGGGTCGTATGAGATGCAAGAACCGGACATTATATCTGATAGGTTCGAGCTTGGTAATGGAACTGAGCATGAAGGCAAATGCAAGAGGCTGAGAAGATCAGGAGTTGGAGTTGGAATTGTGTTTTGATCTGAAGTGTTCATCAAGAATCCATAGTTGTCTCCAGAAGTAGCCCAGTTTGACTCGTGAATCATCTGTTGGATCAGATGGTTGTTGTTGTTGTTGTCGTTGCTGATTTGGTTATGAGTTTCTGTGTTTGGGAAAGAGACAAGAGATGGGAAGACTGAGAAGTCATCCATTGTTGGGATCTTAAGCTCGTCGTTGAAGGTGTTTGTTGTGCTCATCCCGGGGATCATGAGGGGTGGTTGGAACTGTTGTGTAAAGTCTGTTTCTGTCGCCGTGGTTGAGTCATAGTAACCGCCATTGTTGTCGACGATTGCTTCCACCGTTGGATTAGGATCAAAACAAGAACTATCCTCATACATTCTCTACCTGATAAAAGCAAAAAAAAAAAAAATCTCTAAAAATGTTAATGTTCACTACCGTAACCATCAAGACACAGCCAATGGATTTCATCAAATGATCATTAAACAAAAACTATAAAGAGTAAAATGAGTGCATACCTCTCCACACACACAAAAAAAGAAGAAGAAAAAAAGTGTGCATACCCTCCAAACCTAATCTCAAACTAATTATTTTAGGTTTTGTTTAAGCTGATCTTTGATGTTTGATATATATACATCTTCTGTTCTCTCATATACTTTTGTGTCTCGACTCAATCTCAAACTTAGCACAAATGTATTAGAGAATGAAAAGCTCTTATTACCAAAGTTATACGTTGATCTTCGACTTCTTGGCCGTCCTTGGAAACCTAAATACCACAAACTATTTTTTCATAAGTTTCTGCTTTACACCTTCAAAGATGATTTCAACACTTTTGAACTTCAATTTCAAGAAAGAGAAAGGAAGCTTTTACGTTTGCTTTTATTTCTGTTTGATGAAGTTAGGGTGTATTAGTTAATATGAAACAATTAATATTAATAAATCTATATATTAAGAGAGATCAGTTGGGTCATGCAATCTCGCTTTTGGGGACACAACGGCAGTGGACCCCACTCGAAAATCTCTTTTTTATTTCCTTGATTTTTTTCCGTCCATGGCGGTCAAGAATAATTACGTCTAGACCTCAGTGAAAAGAACCGAACCGAACAGAAACCAAATCAAAATACTTGAAGTCGAAACCTTCAAAACGAGTATATATATTTTTCTATTAGAAATAACTAAACCGAACCGAGAATCAAACGCATATCCAAATATATAAGTATTAGTTATACATATATAATACAACTAAATATATATATTTATAATTTAAAATTGTATTAAAAGTATCATAAACATGTTGAAGAAAACTAAATTATTATAAAGTATCTGAGCTATTCAAAAGTATCAAAGTATTTTTATTCTAAATATCCAAAATAATCTAAAATATTAGAGGTTTTTATTTGAATTATCTTAATTATTCGCTATATTATCCAATATGCCTGATATTTAACACTACGTACCTAACTATCCGAATCAGAACTGGAAAACAAATGAAAACATATTTTTTTCAAATATTTTTCGATTTCTAATTTTACTATCCGAACCGAACCAGAATTACCTAAACTAAACCTAACCGAAAATATGTCAAGTAATAAATGGATCATCTAAACCCCTTACACGAACTACATGTAAACCGAAATACCCAAATCGAATTGAACCGAACTGATACCCAAAATGCCCAGATTTTGTTACGTCATTGGCATCACTCCACAAATATCTAACTCTTCCAAATTTTGGCAACGCTTGATTTATAGGCTTCAGATGTAATTCAGTCTAGAAATTTAGTAAAGATTCATGATTTTTTTGGGTTGATCTAACGTTTGTTTACGAAGCTTACACTTCGCAAAGCGGGTATCACTTTCTGAATAAGATAAGGTATATACGAAAAATGTTCCTATTCTTATGGAAGACAAGGTAGGGAATGGTCTGTCGAAGTTATAATCTTAAGACTCAGACCATAAAATTTTAATGTCGAAGTGATACTAAAAATAGATTAGATAAATGTTTGTGATCTGCTATGTTTTGTGTGGATTGGTAGTTTAGTGGTTTGATTTGCCTTGATACTATCTAGGTTTTTAGTATTTGTATGTTATGTAAGATATATATATGTTTTAATCGAATTCTATTTGCTAGTAAATAAATATTTAAAACATAACATTGTTTCACTACAAATTTTTTTAAAAAAATTGTCATTTAAAGAACTTTAAATAATGAATTTAGTGAATACAAATATTATTAAACTTGTTAAGGTATATAATAATCATATATATATATACTTATTTATATGAGCATATATATGTATATATATGATCATATATTTGTCATAATTAACATATACTATATATTAGTATTTAATTTGATTCGAAAAGTTATGAATATTCAAAATTTTCGAATCAAATCAAAATGGAGAACACACCAAATCCAAAATTATATGAATATTTTACCATCCTTAATTGGAGTTACTTAAAGTCGATCATGTCCACAATTCTATGGTGGAAGAGAGCATGAAACAATCTCATGTTTGAAAAAACAAAGATTAGCCCATAATGATTCCTTGGCCTAGCCTCTTCAGCCCAATATTATAGCAACAAAAAAAGACCTGGTTGAGAAAAAAAGAACGGAGCTTCGCAACGACATCGTTTTCGTGGTCATCACTCTATCCCATCTTTTTTTCAATTGTGTTTACCAGCTCTTAACGCAATTTAAGCTGCGGCGGTTCACTCAAACTCCGGCGACTCCACCGTTCCCTTCGTTTAATCTCAAACATGCAGTTTCTGGTCGAATTTCAAATTTCCCCATTTTGTTTTACAGCTTCATGTACAATTCTCTTAACGATTTGGTGAAATCGAAAAACAGGAGAAGGTGAAAATGATTAAGAAGGAAGAGCCGCCGGTGGTGGCGGTGAAGAACCCCGAAAGCTTCCCTCTTTACTGGTACGAAACCTCGGATACCGTCTCTCGCCGCTTCCAGTTCGAATCCGACGGCCACCTCTCCGTAAATCTCTCTGTCTCCCCTTTGCTTCGCCATTATCAGTCAGAATTTGAATTATAATGTTTGTATTTGTTTTATTTAGATGAAACTTGTGGATGACGCAAGACCAGTTCCTCAGAAGATGGTTGAGTCTTTCCTTAACAAATTCTTTCCTTCTGGATATCCTTACAGGTCACTCACTCACTCCCCTTAGTGTGTTAAGCAAAGCGAAAGACTTTGTCTTTTTTTTTCTTTTTTTTTTGTAGCTTTTAAGTTTTTTTTTTATAACACATTGAAAGCTTTATTCTTTTTCATTGTTGTGTATAGTGTGAATGACGGTTATCTTAGGTACACACAGTTCCGAGCACTTCAACATTTCTCTAGTGCTGCATTATCAGTTTTATCCACTCAGGTCTTCTTCTTCTTCTAAGTCTATTCCAGTTTCCACGTCCTTTCTTTTGCTTGACAGGTCTTGTGAGATTTATGGGGCGTGAGAAATGATCAATACATATTTTTTTTTAATCAATTTTAGGGGTCGAATAATTTATACATATTAACCCCTTAGGTTTCATCTTGCTATGTGGGCACTGCATTCATTTGGTATAAAGTTTACAGGCTTAATTGAGCTGTTGCAATGGAGGTTTAACATGGGGATATGATTTTTTTTTTTTTGTCTTACTTTGCTGCAGTCACTGCTATTTGCTGCAGGCTTGCGGCCTACACCGGCTCAAGCAACGGTTGTTAGCTGGGTATGTTGCCCATTTTAGTTCGTTTACTTGTCCTGAGCCTACAGGTGACTGATTTTTTTGTGGACTACATTGGTTTAATAGATTCTCAAGGATGGGATGCAGCATATGGGAAAGCTGATTTGTAGCAATTTGGGTGCAAGAATGGATTCTGAGCCTAAACAGTGGAGGATTCTCGGTATGCACCATTTTCTAGCTACATGTTTCTGCTTTCAGTGTCTCAACCATAGAACGTAATTTATTTCTTTTCCAGCTGACGTTCTCTACGATTTTGGTACTGGTTTGGAACTCGTTTCTCCTTTGTGCCCACATCTGTTTCTTGAACTTGCTGGTCTTGGGAATTTCGCTAAGGTACGGCAGAATCTATCCGCTCTTATGGCTTTATGCACTTAATCTGTTTGTCCAAAGTGGACTGAAGTGAAGCTGTTCTAAGAACATCAGTGTTTACCTTCCTCAGCAGCTTCTACAGGAGGCACATGGCAAAACTTAGCTTTCTAGAGACCGTCTTATCATACATCAACCTGTTTCACATTTTTGGCATTGTTTGATTCATATAGGGAATGGCTGTGGTTGCAGCAAGGGCAACAAGATTACCGATCTACTCATCTTTCGCCAAAGAAGGAAATCTCAGTGACATTTTTGCCAAAGGAGAAGCTATCTCTACTCTCTTTAATGTCGCCGGGATTGGGGCTGGGATTCAACTAGCTTCCACAATATGTTCATCAATGGAGGGAAAGGTAATTTATGCTCATATGTTAGTCTCTGTTTGAGAATTGCTCTCTCTCTATTTGTTTGGTTTGCAACTCGTTTATCTTAGAAAACATTGATATCTGCAGTTGGTGGTTGGATCTATTCTTTCGGCTGTACATGTGTACTGCGTGGTAGAGCAGATGCGAGGAGTACCTATCAATACACTGAATCCACAGAGAACTGCTTTGATTGTGGCTAATTTTCTGAAGGTATATCTAATCACTCTTAGTTCAATCCTTGTTAATTTCTTTTGTGACATCAATGCTATTGTTTTGGAATCTATTTTTAGACTGGTAAAGTCCCAAGACCTCCTGATCTAAGACTCCAAGAAAACCTACTGTTCCCCGAGAAACCAATCCAAGATGCAGGAAACGTGAGAGTAGGAAGGGCTCTGCATAAAGCCGTGAAGCCTTCCCAAGTGCAGACACTAAAAGAAGTGTTTGTAGAAGAGAAGTTTCTATTGAGTCAAGGCAAGTCATGTACTGATATGGTCTTGGAGCACGATGCAACTGGTGAGGATGCATTGCGAGGGTGGTTAGTTGCAGCGTATGCCAAGTCAATGACAGAGACATACAATGACCCTGACGATGTAATATTGCAAGACGCGTATGACAAGATGAACGATGTTTTCAGTCCATTTTTGTCTCAAGTGCAGGCTAAAGGTTGGTATACCGATAGATTTTTGGATGGCACGGGAACAAGATTTGCTTGGTAGGTCTGAGTTTGAGGTAAAGTTTTTCAAGTGTAAACACAATCTAGTGGTTGAAGACTAGAGTCAAATTGTTAGGTGAAAGTTTGAAGGTACGGTTCTTGTCCTCGTTTGTACTTCTTTTTGGGAGGGTCATTGTTAGGTCTACTACAATATATTATCATAGAATTCAAAGTGGAATCTGATGAATACTTTTAATGAAATATGATTGTTTAAGTAAAAAAAGTTGATATGTCTTTGTGGTTTAAATTTGTATTTTCCATGGTCAAATCATGTGTACTGGCAATTTTTTCCATAGCCCTGGACTCTTTAGTCTTTGTTTAGGATTTTTGTTGCCTGTTGTTAAATGTATTAATACTACTAGGTAAACGAAATCATCAAATCTACTTTACACATGGCTCCATAGTTTTTTTTTTTTTTTGGGGACAGAAAACTCGAATTATAAATTCTCTGTAAAACAAAATGTGTGATGATCCAAGCTATTGGGGACATGGGTAACCTATCGATTTTTATTTTAAACTAGCCTATGAGAGCATGAGATTGAGAAGTGTAAGATTTGATTTGTTTCAGGTTGAGACTAGACTAGAGTTTCTTTATGGGTAGGTTTTCAAATGTTGTATAAAGACTAAGTCCTAAATAAAGAGAGAAATCTTTTTCTTTTGAACACATAAAGAGAGAAATCAAAATATGAATTCCCCTTTGTTGGATGCTACATTTGTATTTTGCTTCTAGGGGTTTAAGTGATGACATTTAAAAGGAATAAACGAAGAGGATGTGATATTCTTCAAAAATAACATTATCTGAATAGAAACTATTTTCAGAATTTAGATATAAATTTTCTTCTTCATTCTACAAATTTATTTTCTAACAAAATATATAATAACTTTTTGCTCAACCAAAATTTGAAGAAACATAACGAGGATTTTTTTCAAAATTATTTTAAAATGCTTCATTATTTATTTATGTTAATTAATTTTAAAAGCACAATCATCTTATAGACTTATAGTCATCAACATTCTAAGAAGTGATAAAAAAAATAATTTATATTCGTTTTAAAAATTTGTTCATTTTGTCTTTGTGTTATTATAATGTTTCTTTTGACAGTCATTTTATATAAAAATTATATCCCAATAACGCTTTTAATTATTTTTATGAATGGTCGAAAATATGGGTAATGCGTCATCAACTGCGTCATCAAGGCTATAACTGTAGTATCGAAGAGTGTGTGTAGTAGGAACATTAAAATAGATAGTTGTGGATACTTGGATCAGTTTCAAGAAATGTATTAACGGTCTAACGTATTTAATGGTACATTAACATTTACGGTTTTTTTACATGCGTGTATAGATCGATAATGTGCCTCAGCCGACCCCGGGAAATTACAAAAAGAAAAGACATTATTAGTTTAATCTCTCTGCTGTACAGAACCAGCGTTTAGCTATAAATTGAAACATACTTACACCGGGCGCGAACTAGAACGCAACAGAATTAACCTCTACGCTTAATCATTAGTCCACGAACACCGGTGGTCAACAAAATTTATATTGAATTTGGTCAGGACCGCCTTAATGGGGAGGGAAAACAAATGAACAATGTACCTGCCCCAGAGTCCACCTGCAATCCAATCAATTTTAATGACATAAAAGGTCCAAATTAGGTCCTAATTTTATTATTTGTGCTTGAATTTAGACAAAGATTTTTAAAACATGGTTATCTAAGTTTAAAAATACAAACAAAATTTGACCCAAAAAAATACAAACAAAATTAATAAATTTATTGATTTTTTTTTTAAATTATGTACTTTTTAATAATAAATTAACAATAATATTAAAATTAATAATTATAGGACCCAAATCTTTTTTTGCACAAGGGCCCCTCTTGTTATTAAGCCGACTCTGAGTTAGGTCATGATCCATTTGTACATTTTGAATTTATCAATTATCAAACAACACTTGCATTAAAGAAAACATGGGAAACTTCATGATTGGAGTAGTGTTATGAGAGAAGATAACCCGCATTGTATAAAAAATAACCATAAAGAAAACGCAAAAAAATAGGGAAAGTTTGCAAAAAAGGGGAAAGATCCTTGTAATGATGGGAATAGATGTCGATGATCTTTGTTTTATCCTAGTCTTTTTAACGTTATAGTTTTGGTCTAAATACATTTAATTCAAAACACTTTACACAGTTGATTTTGACAGAGACAAACATAGAGTTTTGAGATCAAAGTTGTAGGTGATGTATGCAATTATGAACTCTATTAGAACCTTAGATCGATGTCAATAAACTATCAATAACATCCAACATTTTCATACATTTTGTGATCTCATGGTTATGCATATTTTACTTAATGACATACCATAAAAGAAAATGCTTCAATGTTTTAAAGGAACATTCGTTAGATTGTTTTTTTTTTTACTAATTTACTGGTTTTTATGGATTCAGATTTCAAATTACAAGTTAATTATACATATTTCTTGGAAATACACATATGCCCAAAGATGTTTAACAGAAAAGTTGGGAAAATAAGAAACAAAAAGAGGAGTCACCAAATCTACCATATCATTTCGAAATTTTGTTTTGTTGTTAACATGATCTCAAATTATATAAGAAAAGAGGGGGACCTTTATACCTACCTAATTCGATGTCTGTGATTTTCTCTTCTATCTTGACATCACAATAGCTTTGGCTCTACATACCATGCTTCATAAATGTATATAGTTTACAATAAGAACAAGTGTATAATATGCGCATAGAAAAAATATGACGCTTTTTATGTTCTTATTGACTTATAGGTCCTCCAACAAGATTATTGAAATTAAAAATTTATTTAGTTTTGGGCCATGATCTGATTGTAATTGAGTACTAAGAGCCTCTTTCTTTGACATTTTTATTTTTTATATTATTTGATCATTTGCTTCCTCTTACATTAGTATTATTGTTATTTTATTTTTTGCTTAAATATTAGTATTATGCATATAACCTTTTTCGCCATTGTTGTTTTTCTTCCTCACTCGACAATGTAGCTTTTCCATGTGTGAACAGAATATGTGTACAAACGAGATATACTATCTAATAGTGAGTAATACATATATATATATATATATATATATTTCATAACCACCAAGCAAAGGATACATAAATGTAATCTAGCAATATATAGTAGGTCTATTTAGTGAAATAGCAAGTTCAGACCTGAACGGATAGTAAATATTAATCTATACATGTCACTCTAGGTTGTAATCGAGGAAATCCAGTCAAATTTTATATCTATACTTGATCAGAATTTCAAGTTCTTACAGAAAACATAACCAAATATTAGAAATACGCATGTTCGAGCTGAATTATTTTTAAAATTTTATAAGGAAGATAAGAAAAGACATATTCTAAAATGTTTATCCTAACAAATATCATTTAGTTGAGTAATTTCAGTAAATTACTCTCGATCTTCTGTGCATTCCAAATGTTAGGAAAGCTTTGGCAATGTCCTTTTTCTCTTGCACTTTATAAACAAATTTTAGTTTTTGTTGATTCAGTAAATTTAACATAAACATTTCATTTTATTGTTTAATTTATTAGTATATGGGACATTGTAAAAACAAACCATGCAAAACCTTTCAATCGTAAATAAAAATAAGTATCATATATATAATATTATAAATCAAACTAAAAAATCAAGAAAAACAAAATCAACTAGAATTCAAACTTCCAGCATGTAGTATATGTACCCTGCAAATATATATGTATGATTATGATGCTCAACTCTCGAATAATAAAAACATTGGAACATAGATCAGGACAAATATCAAACCGAGTTTGGAAAATTTGTTCACCCTTGTCTAGTGCTATACTGCTCATGTACCTTTACGCAAATATCATTTCTTCTTTTGCATAAACATACAAAGGAACTTTTCTTATGGGATAGTAGAACGAATATTATATTAGCAATGAATATTTTCTTCCTTATCTTCATAAATGTAAAATATTTATAAAATTATATTTTTAATATTACGAAATCTAAATCACTTTTTTACCTTTAAACATACGTAATAAATTATTAATTTTCTTTAAGAAAACAAAGTTGGTAACTTTGGACTGCGTGAAACAAAAGTATGAGAAATTTCAACTTGGAGTTGTCCCACGGTTAGATTTGTGATTAATTAATTGTAACACATATTATTATATGTCTATATATAATAAACAGACTAAATGTCTATATCGCATGCTTCCTTCAAACATTTGGCTTCTTTAGCTCTCAATAAAACTCCATACCCATCCAACACCTAGCCGTCTAACTATTTTAAATAATTGAGGAGAACAACTACCAAACTGTAATTTGGTTTTATTTTCTTGAGGGTACAACCGGAAAAAAATGGGAAGAGCACCATGTTGTGAGAAAATGGGGATGAAGAGAGGACCATGGACTCCTGAAGAAGATCAAATCTTGATCAACTATATTCATCTCTATGGTCATTCTAACTGGCGAGCCCTTCCCAAACAAGCAGGTGATTTTCATTTCTTTTGTATACTTGTTGTCTCTATCAATAATTCTTGATCTCAAAAGCAATACGTTTTGGTGTTTCTGTGGATTTTTTTAAAAGGTTTACTTAGATGTGGTAAAAGCTGCAGACTTCGATGGATCAATTATCTGAGACCAGACATCAAACGTGGCAATTTCACTCCACAAGAAGAACAAACTATCATCAATTTACATGAAGTGTTGGGCAACAGGTTTTGTCTTTTTTCTTTGTCACGAAAAACTTTTATTTTCTTTTAAGATCAACAATCTGTTCAACTATTTGTTTAAGGAGGATCACAAAAACAAAATGTTTTTTTTTTCGAGAAAGGGTTAAAAACAAAATGTTTCTGGCACGGCGATTTTTTTTCTGAAATTTCACTTCAACTCTCTTTTAATATTTCCATTTTGCAAATATATAAATATTTTTTGGAGTTTGCAAAATATTTTACTTTTTAAACTCTGTGGGGCTGAGGAGATTCATTATTCATACCCGTGATTTACTCGGTCTCAAAAGGTTTGTTTTTACAGTTTTATAAAAAACAAACAACCTTCAATGTTACTCTCAGACAAGATACGCACCTCGATCAATGCAAAACATATGTCGTATAATAGCTTTTGTTTTTTTTTGGGTAAAATTATAGCTTTTAGTTTGTTGTCTTCTTCTATGTATCTCCATGTTTTTGCTTTAAAGAGACAATCTTTAACTAAGAAGTTGATGAAATATATAATATATCATATGTAAGACACTTTTCTAACAGTGTTTACTTTTGTTTGTTTGTTATTAATTTAGATGGTCTGCGATTGCTGCAAAATTGCCAGGACGAACCGACAATGAAATAAAAAATGTTTGGCATACTCATTTGAAGAAAAGACTCAACAAAAATCAAAACAATGGCGGAGATATCAAAGGCCTTAACGGTTCTAACGAGACCACACACGAAGACAAAGAGCCTGTGATGGTCGACACGACCTCTCCCCAACAGTTCAGTGTAATGTCGGATAATAACAAGGACGATATGATATCGTACGAGGATATTTCTGCATTGGTTGATGAGAGTTTTTGGTCAGACGTCGTATCGGTAGATAATTCGAGTAACAATGAGAAAAAGATACGAGGCTGGGAAGGATTGCTAGAGCAGAATAGTAAGAGATATAGTTATAATAATTCGAAGTTGTATAATGATGACATGGAGTTTTGGTTTGAACTTTTCACTAGTAGTCGTAGGATTGAGGCATTTTCCGACATACCTGAGTTCTAATTTTGATTGTGTGTTGTTCTTATCCTTAAGACCTGAAAGAGTCTTTTTGTAAACCAAATGAATAAATTAAAAAGTTGTTTTTGTTTCCTTTTCGTCCGTATTTCGTGTTTACATGTAAGATATGAATCGTTTACTTCATTTTAATTAGAACTAGATTTTGATCGACTGTGAAAACTTTCATTTTATATTATAATGGTGTAATTTATATAATAAAATTTGTAAATAAATGTAATTTAATTTATATATTATCTAAGTTTATAATAATGTTAAAAACATCAAAAAAAAAATTCTAGGATACTCGTTTATGTATAATTTTGGATACATACAATTTTTTTACTAACACAATCTTGTAAAGCCTTTACAAATTTGATTTTTGAAAACTAATCAATGTAAATTTTAAATCATTAAAATATAATAAAAAAATTAAATAATTTTTAATATGTGTTTATAAATCAAAACTAAATCAAATTTTAATTTCTAATTATATTTATGATTTTAAAGTGAAATGAATATTTTTGGAAATATATTTAGAAAATATTCTAAAAGAGTTTAAAAATATTTTGTTAGAATTTCATAAAAAATGTGTGTATTTAAAATAAAATAAAAAGATATTATGATGAAGTTATGTAAAATTGATAAACTTTTAATGATAATCCATATTTTAAAAATCACAAATAAAATAAATCATAACTTCTCTTTTAATAGTATAGTATAGGAAAAATCAGGATTATTTTAAATTTGTACTCCTATTTTAATAGTTTAGATGGAGTAATCTATGTTTTGTTTGTTCATTATTCCATTATAAAATTAGAAATAGAGTAGAGTTGAAATATTTTTATTCTATAATCTATTTTACTTTATTTTGAAGAAAGAAATAGAGTTTTCATTAAAGATGCTCTTAGTCTAAGTAAACATCAACGTTTATGCCATTCGGTTCAAATATCATAAGTTGATTATTGGATTGGGATTGTACGATTGAGAAAAATTAGAATGATAAAAACGTGATTAGTTGAAAAGGAAGAGGTAATAATTAAAGTTTAGTTTACGTAATACCACACCGAGATTGTTCTTTGAACCTTAAATATAAACATCATCACTAAAACATTCTCTATTTTATTTCTAGTGGATACTGGTTCACGTTTTAAATTTTCATAAATTAAGAATATATTATGAACTAACAAACGAAAGTTAGATAATATATCACAACAAAGCTTTTTCAAAACCACTCAGTTAACATAGTGAATATTTTAAGAGCTGTTTTGATTTTGGCTGAATTTTATTATAGGAAAAATTACATAAAAATTTTTAGAATGACACTCACTAACACTTTAAACTTTAAACTTATTTAACTAACATATTAAACTTTTAACTTGATTTTTATATCACAAAAAACTTTCTATTTGGCTTACTTGTTCATCAAGTCAAAATTATGACGTGTTAACTTGCAATAGTAGGTGATAGATTGACTTTTTTAATTAACAATAAATCACAATAAAAGCTTAATAAGATTAGAAAATTACAAAAAAAAATCTAAAACTGAATTTAATAAAAATCAAAATATTTTTTTTTTAAATTGTAAGGTTTTAAATTGTAAATTTTACAAAAAGAAAATATTTTTTTAAAATATATAAAAGCTATAAAATATTTTCATCAAAATTAAATAATTTTAAACATTATCACCATTAACATGAACGCTTGCCCCTACTCTTTTACAGTGTAGCTTGACCTACATGATTTCTAATGGGCTCTCGGGTCAACCCTGACTGATCTATCACTATTGCTTCGCTTCTCTCTCCACACAGAAAGGAGATTGATACATGACTCCTAAATCTTTCCCTTCAAGCTACAATTCATTGCATCTAGCGGGAGAGGAATAGTAGACATCATCAGGGAGATTTTCTCAGCGCATCTCAACTAGTCCGATTAATTGACAGGACCATTCGGAACAGAATTTCCTCCCTTGCTACAGGAAGCCAGCCTTCTATAGTGACATGATGTAACGATGACTCTCAAGGACTGCCCCTACATAAGCTTTAGTTCTATGGTTCTTTCTTTAAGCTTATTCTATGGTTCTTTCTTTGCAATTAGTGTTCATTTTTTGAAAGCATAAACCTCAGTGGTAGTTTTCTGTCTTTGTTGATAATCAATTTAAAATTTCAACAAAAACAAAAACACTCTTTGTCATATCATCATTAAGAGCAAAATTTTTGGTTATATCGATAATGACACTTTTAAATACTTTAAAAAATATTTGATTTTTTAATTTAATTTTTCTGAAATTTTATGTATTTAATAAAAGAAAATTCAAAACTTTTATTTTAAAAAAAACTTCAGATTTACGAAATTGCAAAAACATAAAAAAAAATTAAACATTATCACCATTAATATGAATACTCTTTATCATATCATCATTAAGGGTAATATTTTTGGTTATACCAATAAAACACTTTTAAATACTTAAGATGTTTTTTGATTTTTTAAAAATTAAGATTTTTGAAATTTTCTGTATTAAAAAAACAAATTACTTTTTATAAAACTTTTATTTAAAAATTTCAAATTTTACGAAAAATATTTTTATTTTTATTAAACTCAATTTTATAAAAAAAATTCTGTAATTGTTTTTAGATTCTATTCATATTTTATTGTTAATTATATTTATTAATTAAAAAATCAACCTGACACCTGCTATTGCAGGTTGACAAATCATAATTTTAAATTGATGAATAAGTAAATCAAATTGAAGGTTTTTTGTGATATAAAAACCAAATTGAAAATTTAATATACTAATTAAATAAGTTTAAGGTTTAAAATGCTAGTAAGTGTTATTTTGAAAGTTTTTTATGCGATTTTCCCAAATATTAATTATCATCTTTTAGTTCCCAAAACGAACATAAATGATTTTTTTTAAAGGATCAAAGACAAAACAGTCAAAAATTTGCATTGTGAGTACGAATTGTACTCTTCATGCAGAAAATTATAATCTAACTCACTCTTATATTAGATTGTTTTTCTTGTGATTAAAATGGACGTCTCGAAATTACCATGATTCCATGAGCGGTTCATGAACCGTACTACTGTATAACTTAGTTTGATTCATCATAAACCAAATCAAGTTATGAAATCAATGATGAACCAAACCAAGTCCTGTAATTAATTTTAGATGTCATCTATACGACTATACCTGCTGCTGTTGCTTCTTATGAAACTTCAAGCTCTGCCATATTCCTCAGTCTTGTCTTTCATGTACTTCTCTTGCACAGCCGCAACTGTGAAGACTTTCGTTAAAGAAACTACTCGTTTTGTTATGAACATAAAACTAAACTCAGAGCAATGGTTAATATATTAGAGCTAAAGAAATGAACAAGAAACATCCAACTCATGAGAGCTATTGAGAGTTCATTTGTTGTTAACTGTCTATGTGTTATTCAGCCGGTGTTTCTATCAACCTGCACTTAGACAAGACATTGACACGAGGGAGTTCCATTTAGAACATTGTGGATAAAGAGAGAAGCAACGTGCTTACGTAGTTCCCATATCTAGGCGAAAGAGGTCACGACAAAAGGATTTGAGCGCTAAAGGGTTTACACAGAAACTGACGCTTTAGGGCAACGACCTCTTCAAGTTTTGCTTAAACTGCACCGGAAAAGAAAGCGGTTTACACAACCCGTTATTTAGTTTCATAGGCTTTGTTCCGATTCCTTCATCTTTGTCGGGCCTAAAAACTAAATCAGGCTCAGGCTCAATACGGGCCGATCCAGTAGAACACACGGCCCATTGACGTCTCTACCTCTGAGTTTTGTTTGTACTGAACTATTCTGTTTCTTCTTGTCCTCAGGTTCTTGAGCAGCTCAAAGAGAAGGCGCTAAATCGAGTTGGACTGATCAGAGGAAAATGTGTTGCAGAGTGAAAGAGAAGGCAGACGCAAGGAAGAATAAAGAATAAGAAAGAAAATGAAAGATTTAGAGACCAGTCAAGAACCTGCAACTACAACTTGAGCTTTTAAGCTTGTACACTATTATAATCTCTATTCTTTTTCATTTTGTATCATTTTTGTTGATTTCGAGTGATATCTTAAGAGTTACATTCTTGCTTCATTCATGTTCGGTAACTAGGGGTGGGCACAAGCCAAATACTTGCCATTTTTAGCTTACTTGGTTTGTAAAAAACGAGTATTTGTACTTTCAAGTACTTGCACTTTTAAGTACTTCTTAAACAATGGTATACTTACAAGTACTTACCCCGTTTTACTACTTGTTATTTCGAAACTATTTATAAATTATTATATAATTATTTGTAAGTTTTTTAATAATAATTTATTAATTTTAGCATATAAGTTTAAGAAAAACTAATTAGTTATAATTCTAATAAATAATTTTTTTCTACTAATCTAAATCTAAATCTAGATCATTTTTTATCAATTTTATATGTTTTAAGTCTATATATGATAAATATAAAATTTATCAAATTTATAAAATATTCTATAATATCTTTTTAATTTATTTATTATATAAATAAGTAATTTGATTATAATTTAGAATTTTTTTGTCTAAAAGTAAAAACATGTAATAAATTAAGTAATAAGTAACGAGTAACAATTCAACAATGCCAAGTAATTATTTTCATTTTAGTACTTAGTACTTGTCTTGTACTTGCAAGTAATTGATATAAACGATTTGATACTCGACTTGAACAAAAAGAGTATTCGACTTTAAGAGTCAAGTATGAATCAAGTGGCGAGTACAAGTCGAGTGGCAAATAATTGTGCACACCCTTATCGGTAACCATAGGAAGTTAATTTTCTATTTAACTAAAAGAAATAATAGTCAATTGCAAAGGGAAATATTTAAAATATCCAAATAAAATGAACCGGGCCTGGTTTGTTGATTTTGATTCAATCCGGTTATGTGACAACGTGGAAAAGGAAAAGAAATTGGTTTTTCAATATTTTTCTTTCAAATCTTGTTTGACTTAAAGAAGCAAAGAGATGTTAGTTTTGAAGTATAGATGTGGTGTCGACAAAAAAAAAAAGTATAGATGTGGTGGAGTCTCACAACGATTTTCACTAAATATAGATTTGAGGTGGTAATGATGAAACAAGAGAATCATGAGGAAAATTTGGGGTCCCTCATTTCAATGTCGACCGTCTCCTCAAATATATATATTTTTGTTATATGAAATATTCGCATCGACCCAAAAACGTGAATAATTATGATGTAACTTATGTTATAGTGATAATAATTAAATGGGTGTGTTAGATTCTTGAAAGGTCCTTCTTTTTGCTCTAACCATATATGGAAAGGCCATGGTTCTTTTCAAAAAAAAGTCGAAAGGCCAAGTGATAATGCTCACTTCCAATCCACATCAAATCCACAAAATATATTCTCATAATTGAGTATTACTCATGACCTTTTTTTTTTGAGAAAGACTCATTACTTAGTTGAGATGAAAGATTATGTTTTCGTTATTATTGGTGATGGTTTTTCTTGCCAACCCGGGACAAGTGCGCTATATAACTGGAACAAGTTTCATTTAACAATGACCTAAAATGCAACCACATGTAGCATCAATGCCATCGTTTTATTATTTCATACGCCATGCATGAAAATATGTCCAAGACTTTGTTACTGCCCGAAGTAGAAACCTTGTATAGACGATAATTTTTCGATAATATTGTCGGTCGGGTCTAAAGGGAATACTGACCCAATATGATTAGGTGTTTTGAACTGATGAAAAGGGGGTTATCAACTCAATATTATTATTTTTTAAATTGTTGACCACTGGTTTTAAATCATAACAGAGATGTTAAGAATGTCTGGAAAGTTTTAAATAGGAGAAAGATAAAACTTAATCTGGTACGGAAATTGTTGAATTTTCTAAGAACACCGACAATTAATCAACTATTTCGACCAACAAGTTTAAACTGACATAATATACTTATATGAGATATAGGAGGATTTCCACAGAATAATATAGCTGAAAGATATATAAAACATTATAGTAGATCGGATCAGTCAAGTCGTTTTCAATTTTATGAATCCTAAAAGTGTTAGTTCGAAAACTTTAGGAAAATTGAAACGTAGATTTACAGAATTGTTTTATCTTTTGAACTGGATTTTACAGAATAGAAATGGACAAGAACAATAAAGGTTTGAAGGGTTGGGTTCTTTGAGTGAGTGCTCTGCGAGGACAACTTACAGAGACAAGACAAGACAAGTGAGGACAGAACTCTGGCTCTACTCTCTTAACACACTCATGAATGATGCAACACTACACAAGGTACCAAAACAAATTTTATTTTATTTCTTTTAAGATATTTTATTTATTACAGTATTTCATTTGTGTATACAAATTAAGGTTATCAAAATACCAATAGGATCGCAAATAAGGTTTAGGTACTACAAAAAAAATGCTGTAACATATGTCTCATCTGCCGGACCTATCACTGGGATGCTATCTAAACTGTATCAATTAAAATTTATAACAAATGAAATTAAAGCTGTCCAATCAATACTTTTCGTCATGTATTTGTGTGTTTCACATATTTATTCAAATATTAAATAAGTCATTTACTTTATGACAGTGACTCCAACGAAATCAGAAACCCACTACAAGAAAAAAACAGCAAAAATATTTACTGAAAACAAAAATATGTCTCTATCAATGTATATATACACATAGTTATGCATATATTGTTTACCGAAACCATATTACTATAACAAGTTAACAACTGTACGGTACCTAAATGTTCAATAAAATCTTTTTTCACAATATCACAAATTTCATAACTCATATTTGGACTTTGCTATCAATATGTATTGATTAACAACACGGTTAATTTTACAACGGTTTAATATGCCGAGAAGTAACAAAAAAAAATCATATGCACAATGTATCAGTTGATATATTTTATGTATTGCCATTCGAATAGCATTTCTTAGAGATATGTTATTGATCTATAGAACTATCTTATCAGTTTTGTAATCCTACACTATCAAAATCATGCTACTTAGCAAATTGATCTCCAGTCGCGATTTGACTAGCTGACAACAAATTGATTTTCAACCCGCAATTATTAGCGATTTCATCTTCATGCATGTTTCGGCGTGCAATAGACAATCTTTCTGTATTAATTAGGGAAGCAACTCCATGATCAAGTGAGTTATCAAACTTTCAAAAGTATTTGATCAAGTGAGATATAAAACTTTCAAAAGAATTTGATCAACTGAGATATCAAACTTTGAACATTATCTAGTATAGTCTTGTGCGACAGTACTATCAGGTCGTTCAAAACTAAACAAGACTTCAGTATAATATATGAGATGTAATTAAGAACATTACTATCAGGTCATTCTTTTTTTTTTTTTTTGGCATCACTATCAGGTCATTCAAAATTAAACTAAAACTTCAATAATATATGAGATGTAATTAAGACCATATATCACTTATAAAATTAGTTTTATCCCTCTTTTCGCTTTCACAAGTGGCCTGTTCGTTTTATAGACGTCGGCAATAGCGGCAACGACAGAAATTAAGCCTACGAGATCAACAAATTCAATGGTGTTCTAATTAAATAGCAGACGCAGCAGACGACTGGAAACATGAAAGCGGAATTTCCATTGTCGCAGATATTTTCAGCGTCATGTTTTCGGGTCTATACTTGCCGCAGCGGCTAAATAACCAAATATGTGTTGTCTTGCTTGTGCTGTATTTGCCATCGCCATAGCTATAGTTTCGAGACGCTGCCGCCGATCTCAGCGTTAACAAAACGAACAGGCCTAAGGGTGGCCATCATATGTTACTTAGAACCTTAGTTATTGGGATCAAGTAATTCGCATTACTGTATTTAGCTATTGGAATGATACAGAACGCGGTGTATAATAATAGAAGTTAATTAAAGTATAAATGTATATATATATCAATTACCATATATCCTAATTCTAGGGTTTATGCAAATGCACCGACATGTCCAATGTTCTTAAGTAAAAAGAGTACTAGAAAATGATAAAAGTTGAGAGTTGAAGGAAATTTTGACTTTGATTTCCTCTTTTACACTACATGTTGCTTATGGAAAAGTGTACGAGTAAGAAAAACATATGACTCGCAAGTGAACTTTTTTCATTAATAAAAGTTACATTTGACTCAGACGCACGATGAAATTACACAATATCGGCCCAAACTAGTTAGTTAATTTCATGAATTTAAGATAGCTAATGCAATCAATTACAGTCCAATATTATATATAAGACCATAGACTTATAGTTCACAGTCCCCATTAGAGAACGACCACTGTTTTGCATCAAAAGCAGAAACCGAATAAAAAACAATTCTGGAATATCATCACACTCGACAACTCGACCTAAATTGAACATAAGACTTCTCTGTTTTAGAACCACATTAAGCCAAAAAATTGTGAAGAAGACGGCCAGTTTGCTTGATGATATATATATACGTATTTTCTTTACATAAAACATACACACACATGTGACTATATATCTTGTGGAATTTATATATTTATTAAATAAATAAAAATTGAAACCCTACCTTATTTAACCCCTCCAAAGACACTAGTAGCAAAAGAACATTAGTTCTTCTTATACCAGATTCTAAAACTAAATTAAAATCAACATAAAATTAAGAAAGAGACCAAGCAGTCATATTTCATATTACATAAAATACTCAGTTTCGATTTCTCTTAACTAGATAAAATATAGTTAATTCTCAAACTTTGATATCTGAGTAGTAGTAGAACTAGTACCCGGTAACATTTGAAACTGCTGGTGACTAGCTACGGCGGAGGAAGAAGAGGCCGACAAGGTAGGAAGAGGACGCTTTCTCTTCTTCTTCTCGTAGCTAACACCTCTAGCTTTGCTTTGCGTATCTCTAACCTCCCTTAGGTAAAGCCTAACGGCACGAGCTCCAAATGGGTTAGTCTCAGGCTTGCCTCCGTTCTCTTCAAAAGCAGCTCGAAGACGACCGATGAGAGCGTCGAGACTTCCCCAAGCTTGTCGGAGAGGACAAGGACACGGTGCTGGAGGGTTAGGATGGCCGTAGAAGTGACAAACGGTCGTGTGGACTTTTGTCTTGCCGAACTGGTCCAAGTAACGGAGAAACTCGAGCACGTGTGCTCCGCTGCATCGGGAAAGGGAAAGCGGTGGACGGTGGTTTCTTAAGTATTGTCCGAACGTGTTCCAGTCTCTCCTCTTTTGGTTCTCGTAACGGCTTGAGTTTGCGGATGGAGAGGAGGAGGAGGAGGATGAAGGTGGCTGTGTTGCGGTGGCTCCGGTGACGGAGGAGGAGGTTGAGGAGATGTTTGCGATGATGCTGAGGTTTGTGGCGTCTGAGTAAGCCGAAGAGCCTTCCATCAATTGGGGAAACATATCCATTTTATCGAGGTGTTTTGGTTCTTGCTACGGATTTTTCTTGCTTCTTGATCTTTAGAGAAGCTTAAATTGTTGTTTGTGCGGTTGGGGAAAATATAAGGTTACTTTGTGAAGATATATATTATGTGTATTAATTATATTATTTTGAGAATATTATTATAAG